AGGCCAAACTGACGAAATACCCGCTCGGAGGCATGATGCTCGACAATATCGAGGCATGTGAGCAGGACACAAGCCCTCCAAATATGTCATCCAAACGTGCAGTACGCTGGCAGGGAACCTATCACCTCATCGTTGTACGTCGTACAGATGAACTATCAAATAAGAACACAAACCGTTAGAATGCGCAACACTAAGTTAATCAACAACAGGTAAGTTTAGTTAGATATTCACCTATGCGTCCTCCAGCAAATCCAACACATCCCTGCAGAGGGAAAGATTATGATGAGCATCATACTATCGTGCAAGTCTACGATGCATAACCCACCTATGTGCTAGACGGAGATTCGGAATTTCTATATTAGCCGGTAGCTGTGGCAGAGGTAGCCGAAACTGCATAAATCGCTCCTAGAGCCAAACCTAACATACAAAGTTGACGTAAAGTATAAGATTAACTATAACTTGGTAGAATTGTAACTAACATACATATTATTTGAATATGTTACCTGTAGAAGCGGCAGAAAGCCACCAACGTCTCTCTGTGTGCCGATGCAAGCCCGACATATCTGCCTATACTAAAATGAGATGACAACACCACCCCAGCTGTAGCTGGCTGTATCCTCGAACCGAGTAATATGATGCAGAAAACGGAGGCTCACTAGGTTCCCCGAAGTATTCCGGAACAAGACTCCCCCCAAATAGAAGGCGCAACAGCAGCCTCGTATATTGATGTACATCCACCTCCACCGACTCGTCGGTGATAGTATGGTGGATCTGCACCAGGTGGTCTCTAATGGGGACCAACTGCATACGACTAACCCCAGACGCTACCTCATCGTCCTCCGACATGAAACCCGTGAGCATGTGCAGCATATCCCAATATGCCTGGCGCGAATAATATCTCATCGTCGCAGGCAATAAAATAGGCAAGCCATCAGCGGACAGGCCGTATAAAATCTCAGCGTCCTGGAGTATGATGGTGGCCTTGCCGATGGGCAGATGGAAAGTGTGCGTCTCCGGTCGCCACCGCTCAATCAAGGCCGTGATCAAAGCATAGTCGAGTTGTATGCGGCCAATCCTAATAATCCTGTATAATTTCATCTCCTCCAGGTAATGGACCACGCGAGGGAGGACTCAAAAACTCCCACAATAGATCCACTCTCCTAGCCTGGAAAGTCTGCGTAAGCAACTGTCCGTCCCATATATACTCGATTCTATGCTGGGGCTGTAGGGCTAATAGATCCGACGTTCGAGGGTCGGGATGTATAGTAGCGTCCATATTGTCAACTGTAAATTCATATTTTTTAATAACTTAATTGTATAAATTATATGTATATATATAGATTCCAGGCTCCATATTTTGAGGCCCAATGACACCAAACTATCATTAATAATTATGTGTTTTTTTTATAATTTAAATTCATATTTTTAATAACTTAATTGTATAAATTATATATATA